GCACTTATTAAAGATGTTGGATTACTAGAATATTCCATGAAAGATTTACCAACCAGATGGGAGGGATGAATGACTAACTTATGGGCACTAAGCTGAGTCTCAGTATCAAGAAATAAAAGGACGGAGGAAAACGTGTGACCGACAAAGAAGTAAGGGAGTGTGTACATTCGATCTGTGTTCTATGTGGTGGCGTTTGGGACCAGCAAGGGTAAAGAAGGTGAAACTGCATCAACAACGTAAGACCAAGAGACTGAGAGGAATAAAGGAAATAATGCTAATGTACTACTTTACAGATGTCGGGATCGCAAGTGGGAACACAAGGTCAAGAAATACAGAGTAAAGTTGTATTAAGTCAGGTTCTTTTCATTTATCAGTTGAAAAACAAAATTTTATTTTTGTTTCTGAATAGGAAACAGAAAACACATAACAGGTCTTGGTTTTCCCAGACGGTATTTGTATGCCCTACTGTACGTCGGGAGTCCGCACGGGGCAGGAAACGCAGATTCAGACAATCTGGCCTCGATTCCAACAAGCGTGGAGTGATGCTTTACGTAAGTGAAAAGAAATGAAAGAAGAGTTTCGTTACTTTATTATTCCGCTTTGGGTGAAAACCAAAAATGATACGTTTATTGTTCTCACGCGGTATCACATGTGATTATTTCAACAAGCCGAGAACATTTCTCTTATAAACATGAAATGTCCGGTAATTACATAGCGCCTTCTAGAGAATCATTACGTCTGCATTCAACTCTAAATTTTAAAGCAGACTTGAGCAGTTCTGTGTTCATTTCCAGACATCCTATAAGACACCATTAGCTCTGACTGTTGCTCATCGCCATAAAGTTCTGTCTGCTGAGGAAAAAACAAACCTTCCTGGCATGGCTTGTTTTTCCAGTTCGTATTTAAATCTGAGACTATGTGCAAAACCAGATATTTTCTTTTATTTTGTATCTAATTATAATTTCCTGTTTTTATTGACAATGGAAAGAACAAATGTTACCCAGACTTCAAGGCCTTAGTGGTGCCAGTGGTCATTGGGGCACCTGGGGGCTGTGAGCCCCAAAAAGGAAATTTGGAAAAAACCTTGTCCAGAAGAATGAAGTCCTAGGAACACTCATGACAGCGCAGAACCCTCAAGCATCCACATCTGTGGTAGGGGACCAGAGCTATAGGTGAAAGTATAAAAAAGCACTAAAGTTTTCCTCTCCACTGTCGCTAAATGCTTGCTTAGTATGAGGATTGTTGTCAGTGACTCCCTGCAATCTGCTGGGTTCCTTATATAGGAAACTTTTTACTGATTGGCTTAATGAATTGACCTGTATTGGAATGTTTGAATGAAATAGAAAAGTTTAGTCCTAATATTTTTTGACTATATTACTTTTGTCCCATTGATTGGTCTGTGACGCATTAGTCCTGATGCATTGTATTGCCCTGCTAAAGGGGAGTGTTAGGGCAAGGGGCACCTCCAGAAATTTTTGATAGGGGTGGCCAGATGGGGCCAAAGACATTTTTGAGGTGGCACACAGAGGTACTGAAAAAAATCAATTCAAGTCTGAATCGGGATTCTTATTTATAAAGATTCAGAATCGATTCACAAAGGTTCAGAATCAATTCCAGGAACTCAAATGTTTGGCATGTTACAGGTTTGAGATGCACTTTTGTCTGTTTTTTTGGTCTTTGCTAGGAGAGTTAGTACCCCGTTTACTTTTGTGGTCCCATCAATTGGGATGATTTATTTTTGAATCTGCTGATAAGAGGGGACTAGAATGTAATTTTTTCCATACTCAGAAATTTGAGATATTCTCATATTTATTTTCTAAGTTGATAAGTGAGTACTCAGGATTACTCATTGTTTATTTTAAATTATTGATAAATGAGAGAAAACATTTTCCTTTGTAAGAAATCTGAGGCACTATTTTAAAACAGGTTGAGGACTCAAACGTTAAACTTGTTTCCACACATACTTAAAAAGTATTTGACCGTATTACTTTCAAAGCTACTGTTAGGTAACTAAAGATTTGTTATATTTTACATGGTAAGCAAAAATGAACGTTGCCTTTTGGTCAAAAGATTGTTTCTGGTTACAGTTTTAGAATCACTTTATTTAACTTTGTAAATTAGCTTTTTTTTTTAGCATGACCAGTTTAAAGTAAAATAAAAAAATTCCCATAGCTTTAACTAACTTGTACAACAAAGTAGTTAATCCTGGAACTGACACCCTTTGTTAAATTTGATTGTGAATCGGTTTAAATTGAGAATCGATTCTGAATCGAATCGGCACCTCGAGAATCGGAATTGAATCAAATCGTGAGTTGCTCTGAGATTCACATCCCTAGTGGCACACCAAATTGGTCCATGTGGTAACTTTGGGAGAGTTTAGCCTGAGGCGATGTATTGCATTGCTCCTTTTTTCGTTTTTATTTAAAAAGAAAAAAACAAAACTAATAAAAAAAAGAAAATATCAGTACGTATCCAAAACTTAAATTTTACAAACCCAAATCGTATCAGAAAAATTAATTTTTGCTATTTAAAATGTTATATAAATTTTAATTTGAAAAGGTACTTTTTCAGGTTAAACCTGTTGCTTTGTTCACCAAAAAAAACAATGGAGATAAAAACTTTTTTTAAATGGTGAGCAGCAGAAACATATTTCTTTACTCATTAATTGTATTATTTTTATTTTGTTTTACAATTGTGTCTTGAATAAACAAGATCATTATGTACTTAGACTGAACATTAATATGATTTATTAACACTGGCTTTTCCTGAGGGGGGCATGGCCACCCCTTGGGGGCGCCCTTGGTTAGGGCGGACGGAAATGTGTTAAACTGAAAGTAGTGAGTGCAGTTTGGGATCAGAGAAAATAAGTCTGGCCTGAGGAGGTGGATTGTATGTGCCCTGCAGGCCGAGCTCCTGTCGTATACCCATAATGCATTACCGGTGATCTCTCACCTGAACCCTCCTTTCCACCGGAGCCGTCAGCAGCACGTTACTGCAGCAGCACGTCTTGCTCGCGTATGCTGCTGCTTGGCCCTTCCCACGAGACGCGAAGCAGCAGGGGAGCAGCTGTCACCGACAGAGCACGAAGTCACACGACATTAGCAAAATCATGCGCCACTTTGTCAGTAAACACAACAACAAGCAGGGGAAAACTAAGAAATCACGTTAATAATTATCATAAACTCACCATGTTGCCCCAAAACTGCAGATACGTCACTCCATGCGTTATCCTTCTTGACGCTGTCTTTATAAAAACTGTGACTGGGATCAAACAGGATTGGGTACTTCTCCACTTCAGTAATCAACCTTTCGTCGTCCATTATGGAAAAACAAAGGAGGCCGCTAGCTATGTGATAACTTTTTTTTTTTTAAGTAAAGCAACCGGAAAGCAGTACGTTTCATTATTCTGAAAATCTCGGGAAGCTTCGCTCCGTTTCCGCGTCCGATTTCCTGTCTTTCCTTCCCCAAAAATGTCGAACTTGACCCGTTTCAGAGGCGTCGCGCGTAGAAAATAGAACCGGCGCATAAGGGCCGCGACATGCTGCTCCTGAGACGCGGCCGACTCGTGCTGCTGACAGCTCCGTCACGGCTCCGGTGGAAAGGAGGGGTCAGGTTCAACCACTGAACTCCAGCTGTTCCATCTGAATAATTCAAAATCAATTCCTTTTATGTCCTTCTCCTCTTTACACTGTTACTGAGTTGCAAGAACACACATTGCTCAAAACAGCCACACACTTGAGTGGATTATTTGAAATAGGAGCCACATTTTTAATATATTCTTCATATTAACACATTTCTTATCAATGTATTTCCTGAATGAATGATGTTTTGTGGCACATAAACGAAGGGAATTACATAAACAAAAAAATAAAGAAAAGCACAAACGACAGAAAAAAATACTTATATAACAACTCGGGCGTGTTTTCCTTTTTTATTCTTATTGAATGCTTTTCGGAAGTATCGGATAGGCACCCGGTATCTGTAGATACTCAAAATCAAATGACTTGGACTTCAATCGGGAGCAGACCAGAATATCCCTGTTGTATACCTATGATCTGTGCTCTTGTCAGATGAAGCACCATAAAGCCGTCCTTAAATCCCCTTTAAATTTGCTCTTTTGGAACAGCACATAATTATATTTGATAGTTTTCAGATAAATTTACATTATAGTTAGTTTATGTAGTTAAAAAATAAAAAAGCCTTGAAAAACATGGGACCCTTTAAAAATTCTTAAACATTGGCCCGTCTGGGGGCAAAATTTCCACACATCTGGTTAAAGACTTCAGCAAGGTGCTGGATTGACGAGAGAACTTGGACGACGGAATAAAACAAGAAATGTTAGATAAAAACTAATATTATCATTATTGAATTAATATTAAGTGTCTTGACTGTTAAACATCTGGTGTCTTATTAAACGCAGCTTCACAGCATCACAAGATCACAACATGCCCTACGGGTTATAAATTGTAAGTCGCTTTGGATAAAAGCGTCTGCCAAATAAATAAACAAATAAAACGTAGCTTCATCCTTTTCATCCTGTTGATAGATACCAGGCTCCAGTAGGTCTTACAGGGACGAGTAGGAGGACGACCTTGCCATGGCACCGACCTTTATCAGTAAAACTCCCTGGAGAAAGTCTAGCAATAGCTTTGTTTGATTTAGGGTGCACCTGGAGGAAGTTTAGACTCCCTTTTACAGCTTTCCACCTGAGAGTCTAAGGAATGTCAAAATGTGTGTGCGTTAATCCTCGTGTGTGCTTAATAAATGCTGTCGGAAGGCGTCAGCCTGATGAGAGTGAACTGAGACCCTTGTTTGGTGTGTATTCTTATCCTCTCCACTTTGCAAAGTCTAAATTGATTGTTTATGATTGGTACTGGTGTTGATTGATTGAGTACTATAACCCCCTGTGCTTTAAACTTTCCCTAAGGTAATCTTGGATTGATACCCAACAAGAAATTAAAATTTTCTGTCACAATTTTTTAAAAGAAAGCGATACTCACAACGAAGCATGGTCCAGCTGATGTCTTCAGACACTCCTCCAGAAGTTTCATCCGGAGTCTGTGCAGCTCTGGACTGTCCCACTCCTCAGGATCCACTCCCCAGTACAGGTCCACCACCTCGACACACACAAACCATGTCAGCAAACGGGCCAATCTTTTCTAGGATCTTCAATAGAAAGGACGGTTTCTCCTCTCCCAGAAAATACTCTTAATAACTGAAATATTACGACACTTAGAGCAGCTTCTGAATAGGGTTCAGCAGGTTTAGAAAGCAGAATAAAGTCAAACTATTTTAACCTAAACACACACACACACACACACACACACACACACACACACACACACACACACACTCTCCCTCAACACATTCATCACAAGTTCTGGCAGTTTAGACAATTCCAACTGTAAACACGCCACAGGGGGAATCTCCCACCAGAGAGAATCGTGAGGAAATGCCTGTGTGTGTGTGTGTGTGTGTGTGTGTGTGTGTGTGTGTGTGTGTGTGTGTGTGTGTGTGTGTGTGTGTGTGAGAGAGAGAGAGAGAATTCAACGCAGCGGTAGTAGCACCTCTAACAGTACAACAAGCCCTCCCGCTGCAGCTTCCTGGCTTCCAGACAGCTTTTCTCTCTGAGGTTTGGACACGTGTCTCATAATGATGCGCATCATCCCATCCAGGAAAAGCAGTTGAAGTAAAGATGGAGTCTGATGCAGAATCCCCTTTCTGCTCCTAGTTGTGGTTTGTTGTTCAAGGACTGTTTCCAGTATAGTTTCAAATAGCCAGGAAAAGAAAAGCTGACACATCCATAGATCGTAAAGGAGGTGAAGTCAATAAAGGGGGTGAGATGTGGTGTGAAAGTGGGCAGGGTGACCCTCTCCTCTGACATCACTGGTAGGAGCTGCTTCACTGCTGTTGTGCACCGCCGAGTAGCCGTATTACTGCAAAAGTAGACAGGTGTCTGTCATTATCTGATACGAGTCGAGAACTCACAGAATGGTGCTGTGCCATCCTCCCTGCCCACCCTGTGTAGGTATAGAAAACTGTGAAATGCAGGTTAGGCAGGACAGTTTTTCTCTGCTTCTCTACGATGATTGGCTTAAACTTCTTCACCACGCCGCTGAGTCGTGTTGTCAGACAAGAGTACCACACGTGCATATTTGCCACAAAACTCAACTCGCGTATCCGCAGCTTTTTGCCTAGTTTAGAGGGGTGAGTCGTACCAGCGTAATTAGATGCCAAATTGAGTACCGGCTACGCAAAACGCGTACAGGTTGGCAAGTCTGGAAATGTCTGAAATGAGTGAACAGCTTCTTCTACAAAGCTGTCATGTAGTTTGAATGGCTGGTCTGAGGTAAGGAGAGTCAGTAGTCTATCTAAAATGTGGAAAGTTTAGTTGAAACAGTTAATTTATGACTGGATTGATAAGCTTACAGCTAGGCTGATTGGGCCTCACACAATAATAGATTGCTGCCATCCTTCTGAATCCTTCTAGCTCGGCGTCCTGCGCCTGCTGATGACGTCACACTAGAAGACTGGCAGGACGTACGACTTACGAAGGTTAAGTTACCACGTTCAAAAGCATTTAGGTAGTAAATAAATGTACTAACAAAACTGCTAAACTCTTTCCAAACATATGTGAAAGAAACAAATCGAAAAAGGGATGCAATATATTTTGGCTGAGTGGTATCGCCGTAGAATGATGATGTCATCGGCAGGCACAGGACCCCAAACTGCAACGCCAGAAAACTGGCATTGCATTCTCTCGTTGCAATTAACTGAAGGACCGTCAAAGTGTGAGAAGTCACGCCGATGTCGCATGCTTTCTGCTCCACAGGTAATAAACCGTAATGTTTGTTAAACAAGCGACAGTCACGGCGATATGCAGCAAAACTACCCTGAAATGTATGCATGTACTGCCCCCTGCCGCCAGGAAACCGCCATTTTAAATAAATTCAACTGAAAACTGATGACAGAAGAGGTCCTGACACACTTGTCGCTGAAAACAACAACAACAACAAAGCCAACTGACAGATTTACAGAAGACTCACACTTGACTGAGCTAGTTGAACACTTTCCAAACCTGAAACTAGACAATGTTTTGCTTTCCACCTTCAGAAGATGACTAAACAGTTAGTGGGTAACTTTCTGGTGAAGGACAAATTGTTTTGACACCAGCAGCAGAAAGATGAGTAGTGAAAGTGTGGGATCAAAACGACACTTTGACTGATTAAATTAAGCCGCGTGTCTAATCCTCCCCCCACCAGATGACTCTAACTATTAAAAAAGGGGGGAAAGTCTCCCACTTAGTGGTGTGCTCTCTCGATAAACATCCCTCATGCTGGCTTGTTGTGAAAACCTCATTGCTCAACACATCCGTCAAACTTTATCAGTGTCACTCATCTACTCCTAACGTGTGTGTGTGTGGGTGGGTGTGTGGGTGTATAAGGGGGGTGATGGGCCTTGTGTTGACAAGTACCGGAGGGAAGACGAATGACGTGAGATGAGAGCCCCCGATTGCGGAAGGTTGCAGCAGGTGATTGGGAGGATGCACAGTAATTAAAAGCTAAATGAAGACATTAGTCATTCCTTTTCGCAGCGTGCATGTGGAGGGGATTTTCTGATTACATTTGCCCTCTCACCTGCTGTGCTTCACCCAAGTACGAAGGGATGAAGGAGAAATGGGAGAAAGGACACAGATTTGGTTAAGGGACGTTGATGTTAGCAGGGGTGTGTAGATGAAGCTACGAGAGAAAGTTCGAAGACTCCTGGGGGACTGGATGTGTCTCTTGGATCTTATTTTGTCCCTCACGTCAGCCTACTTTGCCGCTCTTCTCCACTACAGTAGTGGGGGGGTGCCATTGCTTACATAAGAGTTGAAGCAGCTTCCACTAAGCTGCTTTTCAACGCCCTTGCAAAGTGTTTGCTTACGGCAGGTGAAGTGTAGGAGAAGCTTTCAAATATACATGAATCACCTCTAATTTACTGAATGTTAAGACTGTTAGACGAAGGGATTGGGTCAAAGGTGCAGTGGGAGAGAGGGCATGAATTCAGTCGGGAGGAAAGTGGCGGGAAAAACTCTCCACAGCATAAAAAAACAAGGATTAAAAAATAACATTAATGCCTTAAGCTCACCGCTGCGGGTAGATTTATTAGGAACATGTGGTAAGTATTTAGGAATAGATTAGATTTTTAGAGTGACTTGACATGCAGCATCTCTTAAGGGAGTAAATAACAAATCTCTCCTGCTCTGGTCGTCCTTGGCGTGGATTTAATTAGTTTAGGTTCATCCATCTGATGTGGCTCTCTTTCTTTACATTTTTAAATCACAATTATCTATTTTTGTTCATTTCAAATATATTTTTAATCATTTTCTAAATTCTTTTTTATATTTAACCTTTTTTGTTTTTGTGAAGCGCCTCGTGATTTTTATCTCGAGGGGCGCTATAGAAATGATCTTTCTTCTTCTTCACTACACTGGACTGCATAAACAACACCACTAAGCTTCTGTCTGAGTGTGTTGTGCTTAAAGTTCACCAAAATGTTGTGTTTGTAGAAAAATCTTCTTAGTATCTCTGAGACTTTTGGAACGAGGGTGCTTTTGCGCCTGTTGTCCTTTCTTTGCTATTTTCTGCCGATACCGGTGTCGGTACAGGATCTGCTCGGGTGCAAGATCGTCTCGGGGTCCTTCGACTGCTGATGATGTCGAAGCACGGCAAACCCACTTGGACAAAATACACTACACATCTATACTGTTGGAAATAATTTAGCAGTTTCGTTATTAAAATAATGTTTCTTAAGACGTAAGTTTGTGTTTATAATGATATTTGTAAAGTAAAACACTATATTGTATTCATAATGTTGAACTCCTCTTTGAGCACATCCCTTGAAGAATCATAGGTATTAGCAACACCTGTGAAATTGTATTTGCAGGAAAGAAGTGTGTCCCGTATATTGAAGTATTTTGTGTTTAGAGTTTTTGACGTCTTGTCCATGTGTAGTTCAGTTACGCTCATAGCTGCTAGCTAAAACTCTGGAGTTAAAAGTTTTCTGGCTTTACTAAAATGCCTGTCTGTACTTATTTGATTGATGGTAGTTTTACTTTCTATTAGACTCCAAATGTAATCATTTGGCACGTTTCTAATTCATAATTTGTAAGAATGTAATCAGTGATATTAGCATCAGCATTCCTATGGGTTTTTCCATGTATACTAGCATTGCGCTAACCACTCGCTGCCAAATTGCAGCCTTTGCGATTAGAAAATCTCCTTTTGTCACATCGCAATTTAATTGCACATGCAGTTAATCGTTCAGCCCTAATATACATGCAGCTCTATGCTAAAAGTGTATTTTCAAAGAGGTAATGATGGATTTCTTTGTAAAAGTTGTCCATCTTTCCAACAGAAAGATTTGCCTGGACCAACGTAACGTGATAACAACGTAACGTGATTACGTAATTCCGTAAGGTTCATTTTCAGCCAATCAACTACTCTGACGTCATCGGCAGTCGAAGGACCCCGAGCCGATCTTGCCCCCGAGCAGATCCTGTACCGACACCGGCACTGCTGCCATGTGATTGGCTGACTGATTAGCTATTTGTGTTAACAAGCAATTTAACATGTTTAAAAATATACACTGCTCATAAATCACTCACCATCAAACAGGAAATGACTTTAAATGACACAAGTAAAGACCAACCAGACCAACATGCCTCATACTAGAAGAACATTTCTTGTTATGCTTAGATGTGTGAAAAATTGAACTCTGTTCAAAAGCAGAGTACCTACGTTTTATAAACAAGCTGCGTTTTGGTGGTGCTTTGGCGTTCACACCAGATGGAGGCATGCGAGAAGCTAAAAGAGAGAACGCACAGCTTGGGAACTCCTCAAAGCAAAGATCAAGCTCTGATGCAAGAGCCCAATTCATCGACAACATAAACAAAAAGATTAATTCAAGCGAGCCGATTAAATGAGCACTGCGGTAAATTTAAATAATGCAGCAACTGGAAGGCTGAAAACGACAAATCACATAAGTTTCTGCATCTCGTTAGAGTAATGTCCACTGCTGCTACAGCGCAGTTAGCTGAGGCTCGGATGGCAACCCTAAACTATAATAAAGAACA